TGAAATAAAAGATACTAAATCATAACTGCAACGTACTTATTCCCCAAACAGCTAAAAAAAAAACCGATAGGGCTAAATGAGTTTTTAGGAAAAACACGATATATATACTAGCTAGGTACAGATAATAATTCTGGAAAGGGAAGATCCTAGAAACGATAAAAAACAGAAACCAATCGTACATTTATATTATGAAACAACAAAAACCGTTGAACATTTAAATGCTTGTATTAAGGTTGTCAAGACAACTTATAAGGCAAATAATAAGCATAGTTTCCATTAAAGTGCCCACATGTCTAAAAGGGTCGTAATTATAGTTTTTTCATTAGTTCGTGAATAAACATAGCAATTATAACGTTTTCTTCTGTGTGAACTGTTTCAGCATTTAATTGCCAGAATTAATGATGAGTACATGTATACTTAATGACAAGTCTTGAGTTTCAAATTTCAAGTTTGTTGAAGTACACACCTGATGTGCCATGTCGTTTTATGTGATAAACTTTCAAAAATGATAAAACAATTCTAAATTAACTTTATAAGATTTGGGTAAGACAATTATATTCAGATGACAATACATAAATAAATAAGGTCAACTCTATGATTCAAGACGATAGCGATAATGAAATGAACTATCTTTATTAGATCGGACACATTTGACAATTGTCACATAAAAACAAATAGTCTCTGTGTCATAAATGGCTGTCCCAAAAAGCAAAATTCATATCTCTTTAAACAGGTAGGTAAAGAATAATTGACATATGTAAATGTTCCCAGCTTCTGTACCAAACTGCAGTCTTAAAACTGGTACAAGAATTATCTATAGATGTACAACAATATACAAAGGTAGCATTAAATATATCCTTAAATTATCCAAGAACTGGAAGAAGATGTTCCAAAATTCATAAAAATGTAAGAGAAAACGGGCATCATTCTCACTACGAAAGACTCATTACAGATTGTGTTACATTAGCCAGAAAGAAATTTTTTTTTACTTTACTTTTGACATAACTACGATTTATGAAAGTAGGTATGTATCATCAGCAATTTTTATTGATCAAGATGACACTCGTTACAAGTTTTATAATCGTTAAACACAGTAAAGATTATATCACACTTATGTAGGGATATATCATATATCTTCATGAAAGTTATTTTCTACAGATTGATGTTTACATACACCAAGATATATTGTCACATGCAAGCTATACAAACATCTATACTTCGCCCGTTGTCAAGAGGAAGACAAAAAGAGTTTGTACGTGTTAGCTTTTATTTATTTATTTATTTATTTATCTATTTTTTCAGTTTTCGCCAAGGTTCGTCTGATACACAACAGGGAGCCTTTTTCGTTGAACTGTTTGGCGTTGTGCGTTATTTCATATTCCATAATGTCTACCTATTTTTCATTAAAAGTTTTTAATCATTGAGTTTTACATACATATCAAAGGCTTTCTAAAAGTACTGTCAAGATATTGATACGATGTCGTATAGCTGGTTGCACAGGCTAATGAGTCATACACGCTATATTCAAATAGAATGACAAGTCAACATGTATATACATATATTAAGGTTTTTATTTCATAATGTGCACTATGGAACATGACTTTGATTTATGAATATTATAGTGCAGGATACATGCGGACTGATCTTATGTCAAAATGATTAATATATGTTACTCTAAAACGTGTGTATATATATACATTATAAAATGTCCTTATGACAGGTTGTCTTTATATATACTATTCTCAAATGTGCAGGGAAGAGTTCGGCTTTGGTATTCCACTCGTTCACTTGTGTGTTTGTATTTGTATATTAAAAGTATGTAACATTTGTGAGTTCTTTCTCCGTTATACGACAACGTTTGATTTGGCGCCTAAGAATAGCGATGTCGAAGCGACGATTTTGGACAGCGGGACACAACGAAGTACCTGAAACAGAAAATTAAAGGTGAGTGATCGTTTATATACCTGTAATTTGCTAATTTTGAAGATGTCAGATCAAGAAATAGCTACAATTTTTGAAAATTTGTCGGATAAATTAGACAATATTTCAACTGTCATAGGTACACAGGGTTTATCAGAAATAGTACACAATTTTGATGGAAATTCTAAATATTTTAATGACTGGATAAAATCTATAGAAAAATATGCTGTTTTAAAAGGTTTGGATGATAATAAAATAAAATTAGTTGCATTTCAATCAAGTAAAGGGACTGTAAGCGATTTTCTATGTAGATATTTGCGTGATAATCATCGTAATTCGTGGGAACAATTAAAAGAAGAAATAAGTACTAGATTTGGGGAAATTAAAGATTTACATCATGAATTTTATCTTTTGAGAAATTTAAAACAAGATTTGGGAGAAAGTGTTCAAATTTTTGGGGAAAAATTTATTAATTGTGCTGAAACCGCTTATGAAAATTATAAACTAGGAGATAATAGTTTAATTGAACTTCAGTTAGTAGAATTGTTTACGGATAATTTAGCGCATAATTATTAAAAACTTAAACTTATGAGAGAAAAGCCAAAAACTTTACAAGAAGCAATTACGTGCGCAATGAATGAACATAATTTCCGAGCTAGATTTTCTGCCAGAGTAAAATTTTCTAATTCTCAAAATCACGCAAAATACATGAATTACAAAGCAAATAATTTTAATCATTATTATACAAGAAATTTTTGCGTGTACTGTAACAGACCAGGTCACCATGTGCGTAGTTGTAGATTTAGGAAAAATGAAATATATTCTGTATTTCACCGACAAAATTTTTCACGATTTAGGAAAAATAATAGCAATAATAGTTTGAAATCAAAGATTAAGTGCTGGAAATGTAATAATTTTGGTCATATTATGCGTGAATGTCGTAAACAAAATTTTTACGACAGAAACAAAGTAAATTTTCAGGAAAACTAGCAAGTTCCTGTCACAAAGGGGTCATTGACAGGAACGATAAAATACCAAAATTTAGTATAGCATAAGCTGGAAGCCCTAATTCGTGTTTGATTAAAATAGAAAACTATAAATACAGATCATTAGTAGATTCAGGTGCTGAAGTTTGTCTTCTGCATCGCAGAATATATAGAAAATTGAAGAATCCTCCTCAACTTATAAAACAGAAAATAAATTTATGTTCAGTTGACGGAAATTATTTACATATAGATGGTTATATAAATCTTAATTTTCAAATAGGGAAAACAGATACAACTCAAAAATTCTATGTTGTTTCTAAAATGAATAGAAATATTATTTTAGGCCGTGATTGGTTAACACAAAATGGCGTTAGATTATATTTTGATTTAGGCTGCTTAAGAGTTAATAATACATATGTACCCCTCGAAGAAGATATTCATATTGCATCAATTGTTAGATTAAAACAGGATGTTATTCTGAAACCTCAAAAGTTAATGTGTGCACTGCTAAGTTAAAACAAAATCCAGGCTTGGAAAGTGATAAATTATATGAATTAAAAAGTATAGAAACTGGAATGATTGCTTCTGAACCAGGTCTTATGATAACAAATTCTGTTATGAAACTTTCGGCTGATAGAAGATTTCCTATTATGATTGTCAACAATACGCATAAAACTATAAGATTAAAACGAGATTCAGTAGTTGCTAAAGTTTCAGAAGTTGAGAGCATTAACTCGGTCACAGAGGCTCTTCAAACAACTTCCCCTCTTAACAACGATTTCGAACGTGATATTCATACACCTTCAGAGCATTTTCATATTGTTAGAGACTTATTAAGGAAAAATAGAAATATTTTCGCAAATAAAGATTCTGAATTATCACAGACAGATACTGTAACCATGAAAATACCAACAGGTAATCATCCTCCAATCAAATTAAGCCCATATCGCACACCTTTAAACAATAGAAAATTTATGAGTGACGCAATCGATGAGATGTTAGATGCTAATATTATAAGAAGAAGTCATAGCCCTTATTCATTTCCTGTTGTTATTGTCGGGAAACGTGACGGCAGTAAACGGTTTTGTGTTGATTTTAGACAATTGAATAAAATTACAAAGCCAACATCATATCCTCTCCCATTAATTGATGATATTTTAACACTACTAGGGTCTTCAAAATATTTTACAACACTAGACATGCGATCAGGGTTTTGGCAAATACCCGTGCATGAATCAGACAAGGAAAAAACGGCTTTTACGACATTCCGAGGCTTGTTCGAGTTCAACGTGACCCCTTTAGGCCTAGTTTCTGCCCCTGGAGTTTTCCAAGAACTCATGTCTCATGTCTTACAAGGTTTAGAGGCATTTGCTGTCAGTTATCTTGACGACATTCTAATATTTTCGAAGTCATAAAATGAACATTTATCACATATACAGACAGTGTTTTCAAAGCTTAAAGAGCATAAATTAAAACTTAAACTGAAAAAGTGCAGTTTTATTCAGCAACAAACAAAGTACCTTGGTTTTATAATTGATCATGAAGGTATAAAACCAGACCCAGAAAAAGTAAAAGCTATTAGGTCACTTCCGGTACCAAAATGTGTTAAAGATGTCAGATCTTTACTTGGTGCTGCTGGTTTTTATAGAAGATTTTGCCCTAAATATTCTAAAATTGTTGAACCTCTAATCAATCTTACAAGAAAACGTGTTTTGTTTAAATGGACAAAAGAATGTCAAGAAAGTTTTGAACAATTAAAGAAAATGTTAACACGTATTCCACTTTTAGCATTCCCAGACCCAAATAAGCCTTATATTCTATACACGGACTGCTCAGATTTAGTGGTCGGAGCATGTTTAAGTCAGAAATGTGACAAATCTGGTATTGAAAAACCTATATACTTCTTATCTCATAAATTAAGTGAATCTCAAAGAAAGTACAGTACCATAGAAAAAGAAGCATTCAGTATTCATTATGCGTTACAAAAATTAGATGTTTATTTACATAATGCAGAGTTTACTATATTTACAGACCATAAACCTTTAAAATATCTTCTAGAAGCACGTATGCAAAACAAAAGAATTCAGCTTTGGGCTTTAAATATTTCTGCCTATAACTGTAAAATTGAATATTTGCCAGGAAAATTAAATTTAATTGCCGATTTCTTTTCTAGACCTCCAGCTGATGATAAAAATGCTAACAAGTCAGATATTGAACTTTATGAGCCTGATATAAATGACAATGCCTTCGAAATAACAGTCTCAAATTCAAGTAATAATTAAAATAATGATAATGTACATGCTGTGAAAACTGATAAAAGCTATGAAGTAAATGCTTTTGATTCTACGCACTTTAATGCCAACGAAATAGCAAACAAAGAATACCAATTTCAAGAGCCAATTGTAGAAGATATTAAACAATTCGAAAAATTAAATATGGCCTCAGAGCAAGATAAAGATCAAACTATTCTTGAACTGAAAATGTTACTACGTCACGGACAGCCAACTAAATCAGTGCAGAGCAAATATTTAGAAATTGACCAAGTTCTTTATTATCTGTCTAATGTAGATGATAATCCTAATCTTAGATTGTTTGTTCCGCAACATTTAAAACACCTTGTCATTACTCAATATCATTTAAATAATGGTCACCCAGGAACACAGAGGTTATTTACAACAATAAAACAAAAATATTTTTGGCCAAATATGTTCAAAGAATTGTATGAATATGTTTCTAAATGCGTTGATTGTCAGTCACGTAATCTTACAAAAATAAAAGCACATATGGGCGAAACAAGAGTACCAATGTATTCATTCCAGACCATGAGTATCGACGTTATTGGGCCCTATGAGAAAACAATGAGTGGTAACCGCTACATTATTTGTTTTATTGACCTTTACAGTGGTTATCCCGAGTGTTTCCCTACTGCTGACAAAAGTACTGATACAATTATACATTTACTATTAGAAGAAATTTACCCTAGATACGCATGTCCATTACAAATTGTCACTGATAATGGATCAGAATTCACAAGTAATGCTTTCAAAGAAACACTTAAAGAGTTAAAAATTGATCACGTGCGTACAACTACCTATCATGCTGCCGGAAACGCTAAAAATGAACGTTCTCACCATGTCATACATGATATCTTAGCTAAAAGAATCCAGGGAAATCTCAAACAATGGGATATTCATCTTAACATGACACTAGCCGCACTTAGATTCAATGTCTCTAGGACTTCAAAGCATAGTCCATTTTATTTGTTATATAACCGTGACGCAATATTACCGGTTGACCAGTTGCTACAACCAAGGCAGCGCTATCATGGCGAAGAGTATCACAAAATTGCATTACAAGAACAACATAATACTTTTCTATCTGTTTATAAGAACCTTAAAAAAAGCAAAACGAGAACAAGCTAGCTATGCAGATAAGACCGCAAAAGATATCAAATTTGAAATAGGCGATCCCGTATTTTATAAGAATTTTCGTAAGAGAAGCAAACTAGATGTGAATTGGAAGCCATTTTATAGAATTATGGAGAAAAGGTCACCATTAACTTATATAATAAAAAATCAATTTGACAATTCAACAGTTAAAGTCCATGCAGAACAAATTAGGCTTGCAAATATTAATGACTGGTCAATACCAAAAGCAGATAATACAGGCAGACCAAAAAGAAATGCCACATTTGTAGTTACACCTGAAAATAGCGATACTGATGATGCTTCAGAAATACCAGAATCAGTATTACCCCAAGTTGCTAAAAATGTTAGAAAAGAAAGGTCAAATTCTGATAGTGAAGATGATATTCCATTAGCCGAATTACAGAAACATCTTCGACAACAACAACAAATTTCAAATAATGACAATACTCAAAGTAATGCACATTCAGAAGAAATGCAATCGCAGACTGATTCAGAATTATCAGACTCAAATTCCATACAAGTAAATAGCAATCCTCAGTCACAAGCAGCATATAATGCTATTCAGTCAGATTCAATGGCTGATGATAATGATTCAGATAATGAAATTTTTATAAACTCTATTTCTAGTAAAAAGAAAAGTATTGTAAAACCTCGATATAAAGTATCTGGTAAGGTAAACACAAAGTTACAAAGTAAAGATAAAGGGTCGAAATCAAGTTTTAAAATGATTTTACAAGGATTAGCTGAATTGTTATAGAACGTTATATTCCGTGTTATATGCTATACTAATTTTCGGTAAATTGACCTCAGGCATTGTAAATAGTAATTATGGAAAGAAGAAAATATATACGTTAAAAGAAAACAATATAAAACAAAAACAGAAAATTACATTATTTAACAGATATATCTTTATATTTTTGGTGGTTGTATTCATTTACATTAATTTTCAAGTTGTTTTTATTAGAACTATATATCTTAGATTTTTTTTATTATTGCTTAAAATGATCGTTATTCGCTATATGTTTATTAATAGATCGGTTAATTAAAATGCATTTCAAAGTAAATGACAGCACTAAATCATAAGTTTCAAATTGAATATTTACTTTATTTCATATTAGAATAACACGTGTATACATACATGTTTCAACTGTCAACGCACAATCATTAAATAAAGTTTAAATTTGGATAAGTCTTATTGTCGAAATAAACTAAAGTTAATAGCTTAGTTAAAACAAAATATGTCTATATGTCTAAAAATCCAATATGAAAAGAAAAATTTTAAATATCAAGTATTACATAAATAAGATACTTACACTTAAGAACATCTTTCATTGGAATTCTTATCCTATGCATTTTATGACAGTTGTATTGTTGTTCATATATCTGAAACAAAATTATGTTTATTGTATATAATATCTATTAACCGATCTGACAACGGACGAAAATGCAAAATATTGGTCTAACGATCACTTGTCGTCCAGCCAAGACAGAGAGGTGCGAGCGAATTCGCCGGTACAGTAAAACACCGCCTGACTAGAAATATTACAGTCAGCCTCTACGATGTCAAACTATGTACATAAAACCATAAACACCTTCTTCGATGTAAAACCATGCAGATATAACCATAAACACCTTCTTCGATGTAAAACCATGCAGATATAACCATAAACACCTTCTTCGATGTAAAATTATATGAAATAAGCGTCTACGATGTTTTAGATACATAACTATGCTGTTACAGCCGTCAACAACAACAACAACAACAAAATTGTGGAATCAAATAAACTTTTGTTCCTGTCTTCAACCAGAGAAGCCGAAAACTTCCGTTTATCAATAGAATGTGTTTTTCTATGTGTTATATGAACTTAAATACAAAAACCCAGAGAAATACTGATGATAACTTCTTATCAAAATAATTATTTGTGCGCGACAGATATATCCAAAATAAATATCACATAAACATTTGCGAGAATCGTGTAACAGCAAACTGTTAATTTAATTATCTTTTACTCAAAAACACTGCTACATAAATGAAGAATTATAGATCTATCATCACTTTGTTGTATTGTTCAATACAAGACATTCTTTTTACAACGACGAAACAAGAACAGCGTTTACAGATGTGTTTACAAATATTCGAATATAACTTTATCAACTTGTGTATAAAGTCTACGTTTACATATATCAAATACATATATACAAATTTAAAAGAATCTTCAAGAACATCAAACATTTATGAACAATTATGAGTGTCAATTTAAAATTATACTTTAGAAAGCTACATACCAACGATTTGAAATTCCCGACACGTCACGAAGACCAAGCAATACTGATGTCAGCAAGTACCTGTTACAAAAAATATACCTGTCACAGGAAGTGTTCAATGCGCATGCACAATACACGTTTTACAGGAAATGAAACACCTGGACATTTTATCAATTATCAATTGTTTATAATATTTTTTAAACTTTTTCGTATATAAATATCTTTTCTACTCTTATCATACATATAATTCTGTTAAATTTTATACCTTAAAGTTTTTCTAATTAATATTCTTAAAATAATTTGTTCTTCGAAAATTGTTAACTTATTTGTTTGTTTTTTATGTTTTCTTGATCTCTAGAAATTAACTTTTTTTTCCTTTTTTTTATGATGAAATAAAGGAAATTTAATATTTATTGAAAAACTTATAAAGCTATAATATTTACTTTATGTTACTTTAACATATTATTTTTGTATTTTTTTGCATAAAGATTAATCGAACATTTAACAATAATTATTATTTTACTTATTCAAAACTTTTAAAACTAATATCAAAAGTAAACTTACCTGTGCTACATTGTATCTATCCAAATTTTTCTATTAAAATGAATTCAAACATGAAAAGGTTACACACGATATTCAATTGACCAATCAGAGATGATATTACCTAAGGTGATTTTTCTTTTAATATAAAGTGACAAAAGGTTGATGTATAACATCCTTACCTTAGGGGTAAAACAGATGTCAAGTTGATTTTAGATTTTTTTTTTTAATTTGTTAGAACGAGTTTGAAATATTTGATATTTAATACCTTGTTTAATACTTTTTTTAAATTTGTTTTTTATATAAGTAAAGGAGGAATTGTCGTATAGCTGGTTGCACAGGCTAATGAGTCATACACGCTATATTCAAAAAGAATGACAAGTCAACATGTATATACATATATTAAGGTTTTTATTTCATAATGTGCACTATGGAACATGACTTTGATTTATGAATATTATAGTGCAGGATACATGCGGACTGATCTTATTTCAAAATGATTAATATATGTAACTCTAAAACGTGTGTATTTATATACATTATAAAATGTCCTTATGACAGGTTGTCTTTATATATACTATTCTCAAATGTGCAGGGAAGAGTTCGGCTTTGGTATTCCACTCGTTCACTTGTGTGTTTGTATTTGTATATTAAAAGTATGTAACATTTGTGAGTTCTTTCTCCGTTATACGACAACGATTACATTTTGTAGAGAACTCAAAATGCTTAACATGTTTAAAAAAAATTCACAAAATGTGGAGTAATACTTATTTGATCTACATTGAAGAAACAAGATTTGTAAAGGCTTGTAAGAGACATGTTGTTGTTGTTGCTTTTTTTTGCTTGGGTTTTGTTTGCACTAATTTGCTAAATTTTAAATTTGAATATATACTACATTTTATATTACTTTTCACATAATCTGTGTTATATTTGTATGACATGACAATAACATTGGCGCAGAAATTACAAAATTATTTTCTACTTAAAAGAAATGTTCTACAGAACGATATCGAAAATTAAACCATTACTATGATAAGGTACTGTTGACAATCTTGGAAAGGGGTATCCTTGATAACCATTAAACATCTCGTTCATTCAGGACTTATTATTTGGACTGCAGAATATCTCATGCCCTCTAGCACGGGATTAAACGTAATTTAACTGGTATTGTTTGATTTTATTATCCTGTCTATTGCATACTGACACGGTCAATGCACACAAGATATTAATCTTTGATAAATGATCGGTAACATTCGTGATATGAACGCAGTAAGATTTGATTAAATTGAATTTGTTTCTATGAAATATTTATACTGACCGTTATAGCGGAAATGGGTAAACTTCCGGTTTTTAACTTCTAAATGTGCAATGTGTTGTAAGATCTAGACCGCGTATGACTAAATTTTTTTTCTCCTTATTTAAATGTACATTTTTAAATCATTGAAAGTATGATTGTTTTTTTAAGATGTTTTTTTATATATATTTGCACTTATTTGGCAAATGCCATACACTTTTAAATACCATGGTTTAAGCATTTAAATAAATATTAATAGATATTATTTCATTGCCATACAATACAATATAAAACAGACAAATCGGTGTTTCGAAGTTTTTTTCATATCCGTCTTGACTTTTTGCAAGGCCTTTTCAGTAAAACAAAATTTAAATTAATCTTCGTAATCTTTTAGGACAGAACCGAAGTGGAATTGAATATTTAAATGAGTGCTATTGTGTATTCATTATTGACGGGTCAATTTATTCAGACTATGATACAAAAGTATTGAAATTAATTGTATTGAAAGACAATACAAATATAATATCAATATCAAGAAGTTGTTACTTTTTTACAGCTGCCACACAGGACTAGACACCTGCTGTTGTTGATGTAGAAGTTCTGAAAATATCAGTTGTAGCAACAACATACATATAACATCCATTTCATTTTATTCAGTTGGCTGGTTAGACTCACTGTGTAAAATATGGTATACAATATCCTGTGAGGTTGCCGAGAAAGCTTTTAGTACTGTTTGTTTGAGAAAAATGTTATCTAATTACATATTTCAACATTCTCTTTGTCAACAAATGTATTTTATCTTGCCTGATTAAATATACTAGTAATATTGTATTTTGTGATAACTTGACCTAGTGACATAAACTTTGCTTTGTTTATTTGTTTGCATTGCAATTACCTATGTACAATAAAATAGAGAAAAACGGAATCCCTAAACAACGCTTAACATGACTAAATTGAAATTATTGTAAGCTTGGTTTGATTTAGCCTGTTCATGGACGGTAATGGAAATTGCAAGTTACCGTTCACGCCTCCCAGAAACCGGCTTAAGAAGAATTCAACATTAAAACACGCGGAAACTTTGAATTTAGAAATACCCACAGATGTGTTCACACGGCGGTCATCGTGGAACATTCAATGTAACACAGTAGTGTGATTCCATGAAAAGCGGCGTATGGTCCCCATTTTAAAAATGCGTGTGCCCTAAAATCACCAAAGTTGAAAAAAGGTTAAAAAGAAGAAACTAAAATTACACATTCATTTACAAAAATAAAGTCTGAAATAAAATGTCTGTTCTGTTCATATTTTTTTTGTAATTGCCGTCTTGTTTAGATTCACTTCTTATAGAAATATCATTCAAAAATTCTGACGCTTGCATGTTTTGTTTTTAACGTGTACCATTAACAGGTTGTTTTTTTCTTAGAACAAATTGTAAAGTTTGCGTGAACATGGTTATAATGTTCTTCATATAAGCAAATCAAACAGACTTTTCTGACCGTTATTATTAGAATAGTTTCCATTAAATTGCTCACGTGTCTCAAAGGGTTGGAATTTATACCATTCGCGTGAATAATACTGTAGTTTATCAGTTCATGTCCATGAATCTCAACACAGTAATTTACATATGATTATCATGTTTTCTTCCATTTGAAAGGTTTCAGCGTTCATTTAACTCAAATATTTTTTCATCCCAGAATTGATAATGAGTAATTGATAAGAACTGAGTAGCTTACGGCATCATATTAATATTAAGCACCATTGTTATTTTGACCTACTTTTTGAGCCTGCCATTGTATGATTTAAAAGTTTGTATCATTGACGTTTTCTATTTAAAAATCACGTTTTAAAACAGATAATTAAACTACGTATTTACGATTGTATCATTGTGCTTTTTATGTGAATTCAAAATAATTTTACATTTTGCCATATTTCCTTCCAATTCTGTAATTTACTTCGTATGAACGATAGATAACTCACGTGGCTCAACAAATGTCTGTAAATATCAATCAAATTTGGGCTGAGACGTTCAATTTATAAAAAGTGGAGCAGTCTTTTTATATTTTTACCAAATTTATATTTTATTTAAAACATTTTCCAGTATAATTTGTTGATCAATCACCTTTTTAATGACCGATCTTTTCAAATATATTTCAGCTCAATTTGACAATGAAAAACTGTGCATTATTTCTTTTTTACGAAAATTAAGATATTGAATGTGCTGTCATCGGAAATATTATAAAAGAATAAGATACTAATTTAGATAAAATGACAAAAAATTGTTATGCCATTTCACAAACAATACTTCTCATACTGACAATTTCTAATCAATGTATGAAACAAAGAATATTATTATATAATCTATAAATAGCTTTAAAATGCCTTTCCCTGATTGGCTAACAAGCAACTTTTTGTAAAAAATAACAGGTTTAATATCAGAGTATATTCACTGTTTTTTTCCCTAAAAATAGATTTTTTAAGTATATTCACCGGTTTTTCTTCTAAAAATAGATTTTCTGGAAATCCCTAAACGATGCGAAACTTTGACGTGACGTCACGCCAAGTTTGTTGTTATTATTCTGCAAAAACGCTGAGTGGGGTGTACATAAGAGTCAAATTTGTTTAGTCTATTTTAGTTACCGTTTTACATTTTTAAGAACAATAGAGATTAACATGCCAATGGAAATGGCCAAATTATGGAAACAGTAGACAAGCTGAAAAATAATGATATCCGTTGTGTGCAATGGCAGATGTGATGAGCCATATAAAAGCTATTTATAAATTATGTAATAAAACAGATAT